GTAATATTATGACTTTATTCTTGTATTGTTTCTACTTTATTCTCGTAGTATTACAACTTTATTCTCGTAATATTATGACTTTACTCTTGTATTGTTTCTACTTTATTCTCGTAATATTACGACTTTATTCACATATTTTTATGACTTTATTCTTATATTGTTTCTACTTTATGATCATAATATTATGACTTTATTCTCGTAATATTATGACTTTATTCTTGTATTGTTTCTACTTTATTCTCGTAATATTACAACTTTATTCTCATAATATTACAATGTTATTCTTGTATTGTTTCTACTTTATTCTCTTAGTATTACAACTTTATTCTCGTAATATTATGACTTTACTATTGTATTGTTTCTACTTTATTCTCATAATATTCTAACTTTATTCACATAATATTCTGACTTTATTCTTGTATTGTTTCTACTTTATGCTCATAATATTATGACTTTATTCTCATATTATTATGACTTTATTCTCGCAATATTATGACTTTATTCTTGTGTTGTTTCTACTTTATTCTCGTAATATTATTACTTTATTTTTGTATTATTATGACTTTCTTGTTGTACAAGTTTATTCTCATAAATACTGAATTATTCTCGTTTGTATTGTAAATTTTTCTTTGCGTGGCCCTAATGCTCCGTCGTAGGAACTAACATAAACACCTGCATAAATTGTATGCATGGCACATAAAACTTATGCAAACACATCAACATCTTATCTGATTTTATTAGAATTGTAATTAATAATAATTTAATGTCACGTATTCCTCAGCATATTTTTCTCAACGGTTGGACTTGCTTTCTCTTGTTGCATTTGCAGAGATGATTTTGACTCCACGCTGCTCCACCCTGGTTTTGATCCTCCACACTACGAGCTCTGTACACTGCGCCGCGCTCCTTCTGGCGACCTGACTGACGCTGCCCTGGCGGAGGACTTTGACAAGTTCCACAAACTCAGACGCTCTGAAAGCAAATGTATCCGCGACCACCACTGTGGCTCTCAGCAGGGAAGCATCCATGGTAGTATTCAAGGCAGCCGCAGCAACCTAAGCTTGAGGGACGCCACCATTGCACCTGACGGCGGAACCATAGCTCCACCTCTGTCGCCGATAATGGTGAAGCAGATGTCGCCCCATCTCTCTCAGCACAACACACCGGCAGGTCGACGGAGCATCCTGGTGATGAAGCACAGCTACTCACAGGATGGGGCAGAGGGGTACAGGGCCGAGGATGAGGAGGATGATCTGATGATGGACGTTGGCTCCACCACCAGCCATCGTCACATGCATCACCATCAGATCCACCATGGAATGCACGGGTTGGATCATACTGTCCACCGTACACTGTCTAATGACTTATGATTTACTGCATGTCAACACAGAAACCAAAAAGTCTCTCAGAACCAAACTGCATTAAACATGTATGGGGAGACTTAGCAAGAAGTAAAATTTAGCTCTCGGTTTTTTAGTCTTAAGATTTAAAAGTGTGGGCTTTGTTGTGTTCGGATTGGTTAACACAGCTGCTGTTTGAGGTTGTCCAAGATTCCAGTTTAAAATTAAATTATATTCTGTAAACTGTAGCTTGTGAAACAAACACTTAGTGAAGGTTTAGATATTTGAAAATTCTCCTATGTTGAAAGTCTCAGTTTATTATTATGACTATGCAACTGCAATAGAAGGGTGAAAAAAATTGAATGTTAATATGATAAGGACAACCTAACGATTTAATAAATATCATCTATTGTACTGGAACAATTCCTGAAACTTCCTTTTCCCGTTCTTTTTTTTTTTCTTGTTAGTTCAGTTCTTGAATAGTTGTAGAATAACTATGTTTAATATATGTTATATTTATGAAAATTTTGTGAATGAAAGACTATAATGGTTATAATGTTTTTAATATGTATGAACATTATTCCACCTCCAAAGTGAGAAAATTGTGTTAGAAAATGTAAAATATCACTTGTTTTGTTGCTTATCTTATGCCAATGTATCTGATTTATGTTGATCTTGAATTTTCTACGTATGTATAGTTTTCCTAAAATAAGTCATTGTTGGGCAAAATATATATGTTATTGAGAAACAATTAAAAAAACAACAAAACAGATGTTTTATCTTACAGTAATAATGTGATAACGCCTATAAGAGCATTTAAATTGCAACAAAATGTGGATCATGTAACGAAAACAGACGCGAGAAGTGTTTCAGTTTACAAAAAAAAAAAGCCTAAACATAAATTACCAAAACTTTTTTTAATCAGTTCTTGTTTATATTAAGAAAAATGGTTAACTTGTATGTACTGTTCTTTGTATGTACAGTGATGCAAGTTCAAACAAGATTAAAAGCAAAAACAAATGGATTTTATTTGTAACTAATACATGGATTTTATTTGTAACTAACGTTTCACTTCTCATCTGAGGAACTTTCTTAATTCAAAGAAACAAGGAGTGTGGGATACAAATAAAGTCAAGTTGTCTTTGCTTTTAATCTTGTTTGGATTTACCATGTCCTGCATGACTGAGAATCTTCACCAGAGTTGTCTGTGTTGACTGTGAGTTGTCTGAAGAGAAGCGTCCATGGGGGCTGTTGCAGTAATCCCGTCACACCGTTAGAGGCAGTGACGTACAGAGTAGATTGCTACCGCCGCATTAAATAAACGTAGAAGAAGAAATACGAAGACGAGAAAACTCATTCGTTCAACTTTTTATTTTGCAGGTTGGTCGCAATGAGTCACTAGGACTCATTTTCAAGAGAAACCTGTTTAGTAACCTCATAAAAATAGTATTTTCTTTGCCGATTTTAATGAGGAAAAACGATCGTACGCAGTCTTAATGGTTTATAATTTTGCTCTCGTGCAGCTACTAGCTAGCTAGCTTTAGCATTCACCCGGCTGTCACTCACCATGTAGCTAACGCCGCGACCTTGGCATTTTCTTAAGTTTAGCTAACATCAATCATCATGTCACAGGAAGAGCTGTTCATGGGACAGAGCAGCGGGGTTGTCACCACGGACAAACGGAGCAGGAGTCTGCTTGGTCTCGTTGTCACGGGTGTAGTTGGGGGGTCGCTGGTCGCTCTGTACGCTGTGGCTGCTCCGTTCCTCGCCCCTGCCTTGAGAAAAGTCTGCCTGCCGTTTGTCCCAGCGACTCCAGCTCAGGTGCAGAATGTCCTCAAAGTGCTCCGGTCAAGATCAGGGACACTGGTGGACATCGGAAGCGGAGATGGACGAATAGTAAGTGATGTGCCATTTGGAATCAGTTTAATTCTTATAGCAATTATTTTGGTTGTATGCATCTACATTCAATTCAGTTTACTTGTATAGCAGAGCCAAGTCACAACAGAAGTCATATCAGGGCACTGAACAGAAATGTTCATATATAAAAATACTGATTTAACATTTATCTGAGGAGCAGACAGCTTTGAGTTTAACTCCATCACAGAACTCTCTCATCTTGAGCAAACATGAAGGCGACAGTGGAAAGAAAAAACTCCTTTGTGAGGAAGAAACGTCTAGCAGAACCAGGCTTAGGACAAGTGGCCATCTCAATGACCGGCTGGGTTTGAGAAGAACAGATACACAATGGCAGGTCAAAAATCACATTTTAAGATAAAAGTAGTTTGAAATGAAAACTGTTCATTCAATTTTAACAACTCATTTAAGGAAATGAGGTCAATTTGTCCTCTAGTAGTGTAAGTTTATGGCAGCATGACAAGCCAACCCTAATTTTAGAATTTATCAAAAAGGAAAGTCTTAACTGGACAATGTGTCAGCCTCATGGACAGAAACTGGAAGTTGGTTCCACAAGAGAGGAGCCTGATAACTGGAAGATCTTCCTCCCATTCTTCTCTTGGAAACTCTAGGAACCGCGAGTAAGCCTGCAGTCTGAAACCGAAGTGCTCTGTTAGGAAAATATGAAACGATAATATCTTGAATATAAGATGGAGCTAGGTTGTTGAGAGCTTTGTACATCAAGTAGGTTTAAATCTTGGAATTTCACACTCCAGTTCTGAATTGAGAAACCTCTTCAACTAAATCTGACAAGGTCCAGAGGACCTGACCTTGTTAGATGTATCTACCTGGATTATTGAGCATGCATCAGGATAAGACGTCTTGAACTAAACAACAGAAGTTCAGTTTTGTTTTTAAAAACGTTTTGGGTCTGTACACGTGCCACATAAATTTTTTTTTTTTTTTTTTAACTTTTTCAAGTACGTGTACTTTTGGTTTCCAACAACTCAGCAGTAGTGCTCTTTTTTGAAGTGTAAAGGAAATGATTTGAATCCATCACCTGCTTTTCCTCTACTCGTGCATTACACCTGCACTATGTTTTTAATTTAATTTACAGTTACTGCACATTTTTTTGTACCATGTACTCCTCTGATATTTGATTTTCCTGCAGGTGATCGCAGCAGCCAAGCGTGGATTCCAGGCATCAGGTTTTGAGCTAAACCCCTGGCTGGTGTGGTACTCTCGCTACAAGGCATGGAGAGTTGGAGTCCATCGCTCCACCTTCTTCCACATCTCTGACTTGTGGAAGGTAAGCACTTCCTGATTTATACTGTGTACATTCTAACGCATACCTTTTTGGTTTAAGACACCATGTCATAGCTAAATGTGCCTTTTTTTCTGTTTATTTCAACAGGCTAGTTTTGCTCCATATGCCAATGTTGTAATTTTTGGAGTCCCTCAGATGGTGAGTTTTATAACGAATATAAAAGCATTACCAGTATATTATATATTATATTTCCTGCAGTAATATTTACACCATATGTTAGAGATTAACCAACTAAAAGATTGGAATAATAAGTTGACTGCTTTGATATCTAGAACCTCAACATTTTAGCCCTAATGTTGTAATTGCTGCGTCTGTTTCTGCAGATGGATCGGCTGGAGCTCAAGTTGTCTGCTGAGCTGCCAGTTACAGCCAAGGTGGTCGCCTGCCGCTTCCCCTTTCCTACATGGATCCCTGAACACACTGAAGGAGAGGGCATAGATACTGTGTGGGTTTATGATGCCAAAACATTTAAATCAAACTTGCACCACAGACTGGCTAAAAACACATCAATAGAAAAACAGAATAAACCTGATTTATGGCCATAAGATCATTGTGCTCTTGTTGAAATATGATGTTCTGCAGTCTTGTTTTTTTTTATTTAATATATTTGCAGCCCATGCAGAATTATATAGCACATTTGCCAATATCTACACAATCCACATATTGTTGAGTGGCTGCCCTCATGGTAAAGTGATCTGATTCCAGCTCTGAATGTTTTGTAAGAAACAAGTTTTAAGTTGATTTTTAGTGGAATGATTAAAATAATTTATACACCAGACTTGGAGGGTCAACGAGAATGATCGTACCATGACAGATTAAAATTTCTTACAAGAGCAAGCGGTACTTATCAACATTAAGTTCATAATTTGTGTCTGCTGTGATCGAGAGGTTGCCACTTCTGTAACCGGTCCCACCTCTGCGTTGTGCTGGTCAATGTAAGGATTAGGCCGTGACACGGTTTATCTTGGGAGTGGTTGTTTCCCCGTTTATTCTCTCTGACGAAAACAACAAACAGAAACGACCACGTTGTTGCCGCCCGCTCCAGGTCCTGTCTCCAGGACAACTGTACAAAAGGGGAGGGTGTAAGGAGTGCAAACTATTGAACAAAAACAATACCACAGAAGAAGAAATGGAGGAGGGGCTCCCAATCTTAAAGTCACATGCTTTTAACAATCACAGTGGTTTTTAGTATTTACAGTCAGATATATGTACAATCCGAATAACAAGACATTTTGTGTACCGGTAACTATAACAAAATACAACCCGGTTACACTTCGAATCCCATGACTCATCCATCAAAATTTAAGTGGGAAAGGTGAAGGACCCCCACCTGCCTCCCCACTTGTCCCACTGTGGGCCCTTGAGCAAAACCCGTAAGCCCCCAGCTGCTCTCCAGGCCCTCCTCAGCACTCTGCTCAACACAGAGGAGTGGGATACAGCGTAAAAACAATGGCAGCCCTTGAAGAAGGGAGCAGCCGAAAGAAGAAAGAGAAACGTCTGCTGGATAGTTTCCTTAGGCAGCGGCGTGTTTAAAGATCCTTGACAGACAAAAGGCTCATTGGCTGTAGAGAACTTGTCAAACATGAGTTATTTATGTTGGTATGATGGTAATGAAGTACATTTACTGGAGTACTGTACTTGAGTACATTTTCCTGAGTATCTTTACTTGAGTATTTGTGTTTTGTGGAACTTATGACTTTCACCCTACATTTCTAGGAAGCTTCTTGTTCCTTTTGGCTCAGCTTTGTAATGCACTGTAGCTGTTTTTCTTTCCTGAAATTCAGTTGGTCAGTTGTTGATTCAGGTATTTTGTTAGATTCATCTGTGCAGAACATTCATGTTAAGTATGGCAGAACTTTCAGTTATCAGTACTGTTTCCTCTCCTGTGTTAAGTTGTTGCTGTCAATATATGCACTTTTACAGACAAACAATGCCATGTATGAATACTGAAGCTGAGGAAAACACTAAATGTGCATCATCTTTTAGGGATTTCCATGACTTTCCACAGACATGTAAAATACAGGGAAAATAATATTTGTGGTTTTATTAAGGCATGTGGTGTTGCCATGTAGCAGAGTGGTTCTACATGTCACTACATCATCAGGTGGTTTCAGAGTTACAAGGTTCTGTAAAATCAATCCAAACAATACAACAATGTACTCATATTAGAAAATATAATATGTATTTTTAAATACTTTATTTTTAAATGCATGTACTTTTGAAAACTTATGTATTTCAAAAGCAAGTACTTCAGTACTTTTACTTGAATAAACTTTTGACTGAGCAACTTTTACTTGTAGTTGAGTAAATTTGACCATGAGTATCATGGGGTGGGGGGTCGAGGACGACCAGAGACAAATCCAGAGTCCTGAAATGATGACAGAATGTTTATTCAGCTGGGCTCCTCTGAAAAGTCCATGAAATTCCTCAGTAGGAGAGGAGGGAGAGGGTAGAGCATCAGGTTTACAAAACTTCCAGACGGGTTGAGATAAGATGGCCTGTCAAGGCCAGTCAGGGAGCCGAATTCAGATAAACATGATTGTTTTGAGGACAGGCAGAACTTCAATGACATCTATCTACTTTGAGTCTGTGTCGGTCCACTCGCTTCCGAAACGTCCAAATAAAATGACCATACCACTGGAACGTGCCTGAGAATAATCCCCGAGATCTGATTCATTCTACCAAAAGTCTGGGCGCTCAAGGCACAAACCAAGCCATCATATAAGGCAGGCAGCCTGACCAGGTCCAGATTTGCTGCCGACAACTTCCTTGTTTGTTGATAGACCAGGAACCAGCTGAATCCAAAAAACAGGAACCAGTTATCATAAATCCAATTATAAATGTGTGCTTAAAATCCACAGATGACAGCAGAGATAGACACGTCATCAAGTCTTCAAAAGTTGATGAGATATCCAGCTGCATACAGTGCATGCCAACAGGGCAAATCGGCTTGCCTAAAGCCTGTGTTCTCTTCAAATATATGTTATCAATTGTGTTGAGGGACCAACTGACCCGATCCAAGTTCATAGTTATGATTCAAAAGATTTGTAGAAGAGGCTCTAAAGCAGTTTCACAGACAGAACAGAGCATAGCGAAGAGGGAGAGGAGGAGACGTCCGCCCTTGAGAGGAACAAGTGTTGAATGTACAGTTGAGTTGACTTTTGTATATATATATATATATATATATATATATATGTATATATATA